TTGCTCTGCAAACTCCGAATCTTGTAACCCCATAACATGAATCGTGGCCCATATTATTTTCAACCCAAAGAAGTCCTATCATCAAGCCCAATCCTCTCTGCAAGTAGACATACACTCGCTGAAATCGACCCAGAAATCGTAGCACCGGCCTTTGTTGCCCGTGATTCCCTATCCTGATGCCATCTCCCCCCTGTCTCAGGTAAATCATACCAATTACGATGGCGCCGAAGTGATGAGCTTTTCTGATTAACACAGATGAACAGAGGAGAGGAATGTTGCACAGACTTGAAGATATTGATGAAATTACCAAAATGCCAGTAAGAGTTCAAGTAATGACCTTTGGTTGTTCAGGACTGGGCCGGTTTTGGGTCCTGTGAGCAAGACAGCACAGAGCCAGACTGAACTAATTGTGAACGATGTGATATCGAAACCAAATTTATATGATGAAAACCCAGATCTGGGTTTGAGAGAGAAGAAGAAGGCTGACGACAGTAGTAGCAAAAGGTTTGGCGTGAACGATGACAAGATTGAACAAGGCACTGTCACCTAGAGGAACGAAGAAGTGATCGAGCGTCCACTCCAGATCTGGGTTTGCAGAAGAAAGGGAAAGGAAAGGTGAAGGAGAGAGAGTGAAAGGGGAAGAAGAAATTTTTTTTTTTCTGACGTGGATGCAAAAAAAAAAATTATTATTGTTAAATTAAATAAAAATGCCAACTCATAAAAAAATAGTTAACTATGTTTTTTTTTCCATGTCATTGATTAAGAAAAAAAAAAGAATTGATTTGTTGGCATTTTAACGTGCCACCTGTCATTTAACCGACGGAAGGACCATTTTGATACCAAAACTGAAAGTCTAAAGATAATTTTGATACTTTTTAAAGGTGAAGGATAATTTTGGTACCAAAGTGAAAAGTTGAGGGACCAAAATGATATTTAAACCTAAAAGTAAGCTAAAATTGAGGAACTTCTACAGGAAACTAGGAATAACTAAACTCTCTAATTTTCCTTTTAGATTATGCAAAGAACCAAGAAATACATATTTAAAAAAAAAAAAAAGAAATATACATTTTTTATTCTTCTCTTAATTTACTAAAACTTATCAATATAAAGGTTTAATTATACCTAACTTCCTAAAAAAGTTTATCAAATTAACTTAATTTTATAGTTCGAGCAAGAAATAATATACTACCATCAACCAAACATGACCTTAGTTCTTTTACAATGGGTGTCTCACAAAACTCACCCTTTACAATGAAAACCTAACAAATCTCAGTCCACATCACTCTTAAAGGAAATTAACACAGCTCCAAAACGTTCCTCATAAAATACAAATGATGAACTATAAGAATAAAAGTGTTTTTCAGATCAGATTTGCATTTTTTAATAATACACCTTTAATAAATCTTTTTCTTAAATTTTTATTAATAGCATTTTAATAATTTCAATACATGCATTGCACTTTAAAATGCAGAAAGTGCAATCTGACCATTCAAATCAAAAACTAACTAAATGATGAAAACTTAACTTCTGACTCAAATGATTAGTGTAAAAAGTGAATGCAAGCACCATCTAAAGTGTCTTGTAATGTGTTTATCAACCATATTTACATCTCTAAAGTTATAAATAACATTTGTAACTATTTAAGTCACTACTAGAATTAGGGTCTTATTCGGTCAAGCATCTTGACCGAATAAGTGCCAATTTTGACCGAATAAGAAGTAATTCGGTTAAATTACTTGACCGAATTGTTAATCCAAATAACCTCTGAAGGAAATACTAGTTCGGACAAAATTCATCTTAACCGAAAATGTTGGATAATTTCGGTCAAAAAATTTGACCGAAAATATTATTGGGAAATCTGTTATTTTAGATTATTTTGATCAAAATATTTGATCGAAAATGTTATTAAAAA